CCTTTGAGCCCTTCCTGTGTCCTTTCGTATTCTCGTCCGCATCGTTTGTTTCCACCCCTACTCCAACCAACCCTTCCCAATTTCCACCCTTCCAAATTTACGCATTTCTTACAGGGTGGGTGCAAATTTGCTTCATACATACGCTTAACTTTGATAATAAGGACTTTGGGACGGAGTTTGTGGTAGACAGAAAAGACATCTTACAGTTCTCTACAACTATTCCTCAGGGTCCTTGAAGGAGCCCCTTTTCAAAGCCCAGCACCCACGAAACATCTACGTGCTATGTAAGATATATGATAGTAGCAGTTATTTATTTTTTATTTGTAGTGTTCTGTCTGACGACAGGTCCATATGAACAGGATCCTTCCATCCTTTTCTCGGACTGGGACCTGTTCATATACGTTCTTGGCAGATGATCCAGAAGTGGTTTGCCATTGCCTTCTTCTGTGTGTGAATGGAGTAATTGTTGGGATGCCACGGAGGAAAACTCCGTGTTGCCTAGACCACGGCCTTGCCCAACACAAGTTATAAATTCGAACCCGAGACCCCAGGAATACAAGGCCAGCGTTCTAACCGCTAGACCACCGTGGCGGTATAGTAGTAGTATTAAAATTAATTGAATAAAAATTTTAATAAACTTTTCATCTTTGAGGGGTGGGAGAGGGGAATCTCTCGACGCCGACGTCCATTTCATGTGCATCCTGCCTTAACCCTGGCTCTAAACGTTTCATTTGTCACTGGATTTAGCGTCTGACAGAGGACTCCGAAGCCTCAGACGTTTGATTAAATTCGGGTAATCCTCGCTAACATTCAGTTCAGAAATTTCGTCTTTTCGTCTGATGTCTAAGAACGTAGAGATTAAAATGTACAAAAACTGTGATTTTTCCTGTAGTTTTGTATGAGTGTGAAACTTGGTCTCTTACACTAAGAGAGGAACGTAGACTGAGGGTGTTGGAGAACAGGGTTTTGAGAACGTATATTGAGGTGTATAAAGTATTTAATTAAGACTAAACGGTTTACACAGTAAATCAGTAAGCTGTGTTAATTCATTAACATATTTTGACGGTAACAGAAAGTGTGGAAAATCACGTGTCTTTAGCTACCTTAAAAAGGATTTGTAAATAATCGAATTAATTAAATTAGATTTCTTTTACTTAGCCGATAAGCATTCTGAGTTCAAACTCATTTAATTAACTTTGTATACTCTTCTTGATTGAGACAAAATCTGTGTAGGCTTTATAGGGTTATAAGTATCCTGTCCGTTGTGTTTCTTGTCTCGCTTATTTTATTTTGTGTTCTGTCTGACGACAGGTCCATATGACCAGGATCCTTCCATCCTTTTCTCGGACTGGGACTTGTTCATATACGTTCTTGGCAGATGATCCGGAAGTGGTTTGCCATTGCCTTCTTCTGTGTGTGCATGGAGTAATTGTTGGGATGCCACGGAGGAAAACTCCGTGTTGCCTAGACCACGGCCTTGCCCAACACAAGTTATAAATTCGGGCACCGCCGGGAATCGAACCCGAGACCCCAGGATTACAAGGCCAGCGTTCTAACCGCTAGACCACCGTGGCGGTATAGTAGCAGTATTAAAATGAATTAAATAAAAATTTTAATAAACTTTCATCTTTGAGGGGTGGGAGAGGGGAATCTCTCGACGCCGACGTCCATTTCATGTGCATCCTGCCTTAACCCTGGCTCTAAACGTTTCATTTGTCACTGGATTTAGCGTCTGACAGAGGACTCCGAAGCCTCAGACGTTTGATTAAATTCGGGTAATCCTCGCTAACATTCAGTTCAGAAATTTCGTCTTTTCGTCTGATGTCTAAGAACGTAGAGATTAAAATGTACAAAAACTGTGATTTTTCCTGTAGTTTTGTATGAGTGTGAAACTTGGTCTCTTACACTAAGAGAGGAACGTAGACTGAGGGTGTTGGAGAACAGGGTTTTGAGAACGTATATTGAGGTGTATAAAGTATTTAATTAAGACTAAACGGTTTACACAGTAAATCAGTAAGCTGTGTTAATTCATTAACATATTTTGACGGTAACAGAAAGTGTGGAAAATCACGTGTCTTTAGCTACCTTAAAAAGGATTTGTAAATAATCGAATTAATTAAATTAGATTTCTTTTACTTAGCCGATAAGCATTCTGAGTTCAAACTCATTTAATTAACTTTGTATACTCTTCTTGATTGAGACAAAATCTGTGTAGGCTTTATAGGGTTATAAGTATCCTGTCCGTTGTGTTTCACGCTGGCCTTGTAATCCTGGGGTCTCGGGTTCGATTCCCGGCGGTGCCCGAATTTTTAACTTGTGTTGGGCAAGGCCGTGGCCTAGGCAACACGGAGTTTTCCTCATTGGCATCCCAACAATTACTCCATTCACACTCACACAGAAGAAGGCAATGGCAAACCACTTTTGGATCATCTGCCAAGAACGTATATGAACAGGTCCCAGTCCGAGAAAAGGATGGAAGGATCCTGTTCATATGGACCTGTCGTCAGACAGAACACTAAATAAATAAATAAATATATAATACAGATAAAGAGAGACGACAATGAGTTCTAATTCCTGACTTCCTGTTTTCAATTGTCGAGAGTAGGAAAATACAATCAGCAAGTATAAGTACGGAAACTGAATTTGAGGCCTTGGCTACTTTTGTTAATGTTTTCTTGGAAAAGCAAGAATGAGGGAAAACAGTTTCCCTTCTGAGAAGAGTGGAAACAACACAGGAAGTCATCTTTCTGCCTCGCTGTTCACGATAAAGTAATACCAACAGTTAAACTGGCGTCGAGAGAAACGTAAAAGTCTTACATTTCTTTAAAATGTAAAAAAAAAACACTACACGGATAAAAATTCAGAGGGAAGTTTTTACAGAGTGAAAGATTTTCTTTTGTTGTATTTATTCGCACCAATGATTCTTAAATAAATTACCTTCAGTAACTTGTAAATATTTCAGTAAGGAATCAGATTCGAATATTTCCTTCCGTCTTTATTATTACCTGCTATATCAAATACAAGAAGAAACTGTTTCCTCGCTTTGTATTCATTTCAGTTACGCAAGAAAATCTAGCCAGACTGAGAATTAATGTAGGTTATGTAATGGCGTGTCAGTTACAACGATTATTACCGTCGATAATGTTGGCAACAATTGGCGATGAGTTTTGTTTCGTGTTCGAAAGGCGCTGTATTTTATGTCATCACGAAATTAAAATACAATATGGCTGCCTTCTGGCTTGTTGTGACATCTAGTGTAGTAGAAGATTACCTATGTTCCTTCGTCCATCACCAGGACCGCTTTAAACCTAGAGAAAGAGATTGAAGCCAGATTCTAGCCAACGCATGAACAAAAAATCGACAGCCTAACTCCAGACCCCCCACCACAGCCTCGTTTGCATTTCTTGCTACCAGAATCGGCACCGTCGTAACTTACTTTCAATTTCTTCCGCATGGCAGGAACGGCGCACTCGTACAGACAAGCGTGGTGGACATTGCATAAAGAGTACAGTAATACCCCGCTTGATGGTGCCTTGATTAGTGCTGTTTCGTTATAGAACTCACTGGCAAATCTCATGAGCAGCTGTCAGTTAAACATCATTGTTAACATTCATTTACGTAGTCAATTAATAATTCAGTGCTCTTCGTGAAAAGCATGGCATACTGTTCTGCTGTCCAAGTATACAAAGGTACTGGCTTACAGGAGTTACCAATTTAGGTCACATAAATGTTAGGAAACTTATGGTAAATTCCTTCCTGAAGACTGTGGTCGTGGCAACATCGAAGTGTCTGAAGCAAGAATACATTCTCGTGCCACATGAGGCAGGCTGGGTACCAGCCTTGAAACCTTATAAAGTGCATGGGAGTGACCAACAGAAAACATCCACACAGAAACTTCGAGATTCTGCATCTAAAAATCGTACATGTGCTCGTGGATCGTAATGCGAAGGGGCTTTGTAGGTTATACATGACAAAAACAGAGATGGTGGAGTATTGTGGGTATCTCAAATGAGATAATGCTTGGAGAGATGGGCTCTCAACTTATCTGCAGGTAATGCACTGCGATATATTGCTACAGCAAAAGTTTCCTCTGTTTAATTACTGATGAAACATTACCTCATTTCTACCTCACCTAATGCATCCATATCCAAAGACACAACTCAATAACAAGAAAATTATTTACAATCGCAGAATTAGTAGGGGCCGAAGAATAGAAAAATGTGCTTTCAGAAAGATGTCAAAAAAGCTCCAGTTACTTATGTCACCGATACTTTGTTTAGCATCAAGAGCATTATTCATAGTGTGTGTGTTCCGCATAACTTTAGAAGGAAAAGGAAAGGAAGCCCGATGTGTGCCTTGGACTCCTCAATGACCCTCCGCCATCTGTTTCTGTCTTGTGCCACCACCCTCCAATTTCTGTATCCCAACACACTTGCGTCCTCCTCCACTCCATCAACCCATCTGAGCTTTGGGCGGCCCCTCTTTCTTTGTCCTCCAGGATTGCTGTCAGTGATTTTCTTTGGTGGGTCACTGTCTTCCATCCTAGCAACATGCCCTGCCCACCTTAGTCTAGCAGATCTAATAATCAAATGTAACTGACATGGCTGAACAAAGTAATTTTCCAGCAAGGCCCACTGAACTAGTTCTAAGAGATCATCTTCCTAATTACTTTATAAAACCTGAACCAGCGTTACCTTGGTATTGGAAGTAGAGTGTATACCTGTTTACCAAAGTACCCCTGAAAGATACAGTGCAGCTACTGGAAGACACTTCAAAAGGAAGCTGACATGTTCGGGCAAATTCCTATATTCTCTTTCAAAGATGTTTCCTTACACTTTCCTAATGTTTTATTTACATCTGAGGAAACTGATGAAATTTTGTCATTTATATCAAATATATCCTTTTCTGTACCTTTTTTTTTTAATGTTTCAAAATGAATGTTTAAGTGCCAAAACATCCATACTGTAGTATGATTACTTCCATAAAAATTAATAAAAATATCACATGCTTATATCTTTAATTTCTTTAGAAACTTTCTTCCGTGCACGATCTGTAACATCATTTCCTAATATTCTTACAGCTGGTAATTATAAATGCACTGATATTTTTTCTATCTCACACACACACACACATTTTATGTTGTTCATTGTATCACCTTTTGCCACTGCAACAATCAACTGAATACCATATCATTACTCGTGAGTCGCACTACTGCTACGTGGCAAAACAACTGAAGTTAGCGAAAAACCTGCTTCCCTTATCACATGAATGGTGAATGAACCATTTCTTCTGCCGTTTCGAGAGCCATCTCTGCTCTAATCCTCGGGGCGGCTGCAAAACGAAACCATTGAGCCACCTGACGTGGCTCGTTGCCCGAGAGTCTTTCATCAGATTAAACGTTGTAAAATCCAAACTAATCCGAATATAAACACGGGACTCAAATCACTGCCCTTTTAAAACTATTTCTTATGAACACCAGAGCATTTCTAATCTGTAAGCAGATGTAAAACACAAATTGCTGTTAAACATCCAGGAACATCTTGTGAAGACTAACAGTTTGCAGATAAACAACAATTTGACAACAGAGGACACAACGACCTCTGAAACACTTGTAAAAATCTACCACATTACACAGTGCTACATCCCAAAAGGCAACAATCTTCATACTCACCACTGTAAAAACCTCAAATCCTACTTGAAGAATTTAGTAAAATAATACCTTACACTATAAGAAAATATGGGGTGTCTGTAAATGTTGCATCAGTTCACTCAAAAACATTGCATTTTTGTTAAGTTATGCAGTTTATTACGTTGCACTTAAATACAAAGGCTTGATGAACTATGTTTGCACCAGGATATATGGCATTCAAGCAGTGTATAAAGGGGTACAAAAGAACATTAACAATAATCTGAAGCTAGTATTAAAATAATGCATGTTATAACTCCATGAAATGTAGAGATTATCTATCTTAAAAACAAATTATCTCAGCGTGGGACACGCAGTTCCAGGATTCTTATATTTTACCAAACATTTCACATTTGTTCCATACTCTATCCTAAGGATGTGAGGGAAAGTTGGCTCATTCACACTGAAAACTTTAACATGATTATTAATTTTATATTATATACACCATTATAATCTCACCCAATTACAGCTCAATAACTGCAGAATTTCCCTGTGATAACTGGACCAAACATACACCCTTCTAATGTAACAGTTAACATACTGAAATCATATAGACACATCATTATTTACTTTCCATATACTTTGCTACATATAATGGGTAATATTGCAAGACGAGTATTTGACTGTTTTATTATAAACAAGACAATCCAGTCCTCCAAATACAAGAATTGCAACACCTTTCCTTGTTAAGTTTAGAATAGAATTGATTTTATTTACATTCCATAGATCCTTCATAGGCCTAAGCCATGCATGTAGAACAGGTCACAGCACAAATATAATACTTGTTTCTAGTACAAATATAAATACATTGTTATAACATCTATTGGAAGATTTTTGGAACACAAAGTCGTACCGTTTGTGGTATTTTGTATGAAAACTGAACTGCTGCGCACTTTGCATTTCCTGTAACAAATACGACACCAACAGTCTCCAAACCCAACCTCTTTCATATCCCCTATTGAGCGTGGACCAACAAATGTTTTTGCAGGCAGTACAAAAAGTTATTAATTTATGCTGAATTAAAATACTAACTTTAAAATAAATAATAATTTCGTATGCTGCCTTTCCGTTGTGGTAATTTTAACCCCTTATGTACAAAGAATTCCTACTGCCATTTTTAAAAACAAAAAGAGTGCACTTTCACAAAGTACAGTAATGTATTCTGTTCAAATAATGAGAACGATTTTCTAGACAACTTATACAACAATAGTTTGAGTAGGATTTATCTCTGAAATAAGAACAGATAACAATAACACAAAGAAGTTACACCCCGTTTTTCATATTAATTTTATTTGGGAATTTTGAAATTGTATTGGTGACACTGTACATGTTGGCAACCCGTTCATATGAAGGCGTAGGTTGGTAATGGATACGAGGTACCTAATTTCGAATTTCACGTAGGAATCAGATATTTAATAAAATGAATAAGTCGTGTCGTGCGAGTGTGTCAGTAATTTTTAAGTCGGAAGATAACATTCTACAAAAACGTGCCAAACAATGTGAAAGGATTTTGATAAACAGTGGAAATAACATGGAAGAAGTAAAAAGAATCCAACAGATGACAGTTGGTAAGTAGAGTAGAATGAACGCTAAGAATCTATACTTGAGGCGGAAACAGTTATATATTTACATTATCGCATTTTGTGACATCACATTGGTTATGGAACAGCCGGAAAGCTTTGCACTTATCGCACCATGGTCGTACCTTCTGACACAATCCTGAATATTTCATCTGCCTACCACAGCCTTAGGTTTTCATGAGTTTTTTACACCAGAATAGTAAATGAAATCTTTTCTCCACCACCTGACCCTCATGAGTAGCCACTCAATCCTCTAAATTTCACTACCCAACATTAATAACTAACCTACAAAATTCTTCTTTGTGTAATATTTTTCATTCTTTACCGATATCAACCTGTAGTATCAACATGTTGACTTGTAGTAAGAAAGGTCAGAGATTTGCCAAGATGTTATATTACATTTCCTTCTAAAATCAAAGTAGCCTCCTAAAACAGAATAGGTTAGACTCTGAAAGTACTGTGAACAGATATGTACTTAAAATTTTGTCACTTCAGTGTATTGGAAATTTACAATGTTTTCTGTGTCACTTATAATGTTTCTTATTTTGACATAAAGGCAAGATAAACGAATTACAAGCAGCCAAGGAAAAGTTATCTAAAGAATGTGACAAAGTAGAAGTGGATATTCATACATTGAAATATAGGGAACTTGCAAACAAAGAAGAGACATGTGCCTTGGAATCAACAATCTTAGAGTTGAAAAAGAAGATTGCTGAAGAGTCAGAATGCGAACAACACCTGATTGTCAAGAAAATCCAAGCAGAAAGAGGTATGTGTGGACATGAAAAGTGAGGTTGTGTTATTACAGGAAAGAGGAGTGCATCTCGTTCAAGCACATTTGTAATACACAGGCTTCAAAAAACCATTATTTATATTAAGGCATGGCGTCCAATAAAATTGTGCTGACAGTGTTTGACCAAATTGTGTTCAACTGTTGTTTTGGACTTTGCCCAACATTTAGGTGTAACTAAAACCACAGTGTTTTAGAAATTGATTCTGTTTGTGTCTTCTGGGGAAAGAGGGTTAAAGCCTGTTCCATGTGTGATCCTTGCTTGACCAGAAGCCCAACAGATTAGCCATTTAACCTCTTGAATTCATGTGAAGAAATGAGTAGAACCATTTTTTAAAATGTAGTTTAGAACATTTATAAAATTGGTTTAAAAATTTTGGCACGTGTAGTTAATACAAATAAAACTGCACTGAAGATATGCACATTGTAAAAATATTATGTAACAAATAGGCCTATTTACCAAGATATTGCCCCATTCAGTTTAATTTTAAATTGAATGTTGATTTCAGTCCAATTTTAATTTTAGTTTTAAGTACATAGTTGATGCATTACATCATCTAACTGGCCAGAAGATGGTACTTTAATGCTGATACATGTTGTCATTAGTTATCTGATTGTTTTAAGCAGTGTGGAGTCGGTATTAAAACCTCCGACTCTGACTTCATATAAGCTCAATATGTATTAATAATGGCAAACTTACTAAAATGGAAAATGGTGTCATAAGAGACTTCATCACCACCACGTTAATCATCAGCATACTTTTTAGACTTACATAACCTATATTTAAATATACATCTAATGGTTATTGCAGAAATCGGTTGGTTTGAAGACAGTTTGTATTCTTAAGGAACTGGAGCCAAAGTCACAAAGCATTTTTCCCACACCATGTGGCTCAGCGCGTCATTGAATCTCCATAAGCGTGAGGCCACTGGCAGCTCACATGGCAGCGAAAGTGTTAAAATAGTATTTTCTTAAGATTTTATATCGAGGTCAGAGTCGGTACATGTTTACCGACTCTGACTCCACCTTAAATTGCTCCTGACTCCACAGCCCTGGTTTTAAGATTTTAATCGAGCATGTTGCAGTTACTGATCGCAGTGTATTATGTGAAGCTAACAATTTACCTTCATGTAGGGTCAAAGTTAATGAGTCGAGCTATTCCTCCATTCCCTCATATGTTGATTAAGCAATAAAGGCAACTTTACTACTACCTTTCCTTTCTTATCTGTACTCAGTTCCACTTCTAATTATCCTCACAGTGTTTATTTCATGTTTCATAAACCTAGATAAAAGATACTGTAATTATTCTTAATATACCAAGTATTCCTTTGCATGCTATCATTGCGACTGGCACAGAAATGTACATTCGTAAGTCAAAATATACTAAAATATGTAACTTACTGAGTAAGCTGCCAGTGTCAAAGTGCATTGACATTTCCTCATCAAAGATATTTCATAAAACTAATGTTTGAATAACCAAATATGTTTTGCAGATAAAGAGAAGTCTCAAAAGGAACTGATAAAAACGCATGAGATATTTCTAAAGGCAATAGCATATTACAAGAAGAAACTGCATCTACGGCTCAGATTTGACGAGAATGGTCTAATCCTTGTCCACTTCTTGGACATCTCAACACCGGGGTGCCAGATGTGTTCTCTGAAGCTGAGCCACGATGACGGCAACAAATGGAACTGTGAGTATTCCTCCGAGCGGCTCACCCAAATTAAATGTGTGCGACTATGTCAGTCTCGTGTATCAGATATTTATTGCTGCTGTAGTTGCACAACGTCACTGCTTTTCCCTTTTGCTTATAAATTCCTGCATTTACAACTAATTTGAACATAGACTTAATTCCTACTTTTTATCACAGCAGGACATCGAGATAGGCCTGTGTACATCCTAACAGGAGAATGCAAAGGGGGGCTCGCACATTTTCTTTTCTGTTGCTGTACCTTCTGAGTGGTAGACATTTTGCATGTGTCAGCTATACAGCCTCTGCTATCATCTGTTTAGTCTTTGGATGCTGAACACCTACCGCGTCATCACAAAACCACCAAGTCATAATCGTGTCTGGTTTGGCCTCGTCTTTTAGCGTTCACCACAACAGTTCTTCCCCTCGTAGGTCTGTATTATTTATAACTTGTAAGGACCACTAGATTAATTATACTCCTGTCCCACCAGCAGAAATGTTTCCTACTTTCATGGTGCTGTTCCATGGTTTTATCCCAACTTCTAACTCGGGCGTCTGTTCAGAGAACTCGGAAATATAGGTTGAGCGGACTCTTCCCAGTGCCCGCATCAGCAAGTCTAGGTGTACAACCAAGACCATAAGTGATGTGTCACTGCTGATGGGAACTGAAATGTAATCTACCACAAGTCCCCTGAAGCTGTTCATTCCTCATATAATGTGGGGCTATGAGCAGTTAGTCCCATGGTAAGGGCTTGGAGTCGATTTGCCATGGTGTAGATCTTGCCAACCGCCACGGTGATCTAGCGGTTAGAACGCTGGCCTTGTAATCCTGGGGTCTCGGGTTCGATTCCCGGCGGTGCCCGAATTTATAACTTGTGTTGGGCAAGGCCGTGGTCTAGGCAACACGGAGTTTTACTCCGTGGCATCCCAACAATTACTCCATTCACACACAGAAGAAGTCAATGGCAAACCACTTCTGGATCATCTGCCAAGAATGTATATGAACAGGTCCCAGTCCGAGAAAAGGATGGAAGGATCCTGTTCGTAATATGTCGCCAACCTCCTGTAAAGGAGACGGCGTAATAAAGCAGAAGAGAAGGACTTGCCAGTGATGTATCAAAATGTAACTTTTCTGAGTATTTTCTGCAATGAGGTCATGGTGGAGATCCCCGCAATGGGACAGACAGGAATATTTTGGTGGAGTGCATTCTCTTTTATCCCACCAATCACAGATTCATGCTGGCAGTTCTGGAGTGGAGACATTTTTTTTAATAAATCACAGACCCCAATTCTTGACTCTTCACCCTCATCATTGCTGAGAAAACATCCCATAACTTGAGCTAATTTTACGCTCAAAAGAATCGGATAATAATAGAGTTAGAAATTCAAATTGTCCTAGAAACAGCACATTGGTTGAAATATATCTAGTTGAAAACAGGATTGACCTGGACACAGACTCAGGCTTGTGTGGTGAGAGGCGAGTGACTCCTGGGCTACCTAATATACAGCTTTTAATCCAATAAACAACTAAATGAAGAAAAATCCATCTGTTTAAATGGACTCTAAGATTATTTGTTGTTGCTGTTCCTTGCCGTAGATGTCTCTCTCTTTCTCGTACATAACCTCAACAACATTTGGGCCTTTGTCATATTCCTGGATTTATAATACTAGGACACGGACTAACGTCGATAGCCGAGTAAAATATTACAAGTGAAGAATTCTGCAAGTGTGTTACTACTGAAAGTCCGTGTTGTTGCAGTGCTTGGAATGGAACCTGTTTTACCTTTTGAGAAGCCCCTGGCAAACAAACTGGAGACAACACAGGATATACAGGGTTTCATATCACATGTCCGCAAGTTGTATATTCAAATCTCTGGCAGTAAGAAGCAGCATTCAACAGGCAAGAAAGTCTCCAAGAAGCCCTGAATACGAAGATCATGATCTCATGTCCTGCAAGAGACGAACTTTTAAAGCGGAAGAAGATGATTGGGTGATTTATCTCGTGTTATGAATATTTCTGTGTTCCCTGAAGGCTTTTATACCTTGTGAAAACAAAAGGTTGTCATTTGTTTTACAGCATGCAGTAAAATCTTCTATCTTAATTAAATTAGTTCAAATTTTTTCAAGTTTTGTTGCGAACTTCACTTGAGCACCATAATCATACCCAATTGGCAGAGAAGAGTGATTACAGGATTTAAATTTCCCCCTCTACTTACATTATGAGCAATGGTCAGTGGGCTAGTCGCTCACTACGCAGAAATGCACGCTTCAAAGACTAGGAAAACCTCCGAAAGGAGACGGCGATGACCCATTACTGCGTTAAGCTACTAATAGATATAAAAATTAGTTTGTAGACAAAATCACGTACGTAGTGACAAAGAGACTGAGTAAGGCAGAGAGCTGGTGAGGCTGTCAACGAGTTATGCAGAGACTTGCTGTGGTAGAGACGAATTCTAGCAGGAAGATGTTCTAGTGAGTTTCGGGTGAGGCGAATTTTGAAAATTTTTGAAAATTTTCGAAAAATCAAAAAATGCTGGAAAATGTCTAAAACGCGCACAAAACCAAAAAGTTTTAAAAAATTTCAAAAAAATATTTTATGATAAATTTTCAATTTTTTTTACTTTTGTGCGCCATTTGAAAGATTTGCAGCATTTTTCGATTTTTTGAAAAATTTGAAAATTTCCTTGAAAATATTCCCCACCCGATAAATGCTAGACACGTTTTCTGGCGTGGCCTGTCTCTGACATACCATCTCACTGACGCACAGGGACTCTGCTGTGCACAGCCTCTAGGCCATCCGGTCTCTCTTTGACCACGTTCCTTACGCGCCGTCGTTGCAAGGAACGCTTCCGGCGGAGATCGGTTCATGCATAGATGTCCGCCAGAGAGTGTGAGGCAGAGAACGCGTCAGACTGAGACGTAGTGACAAAGAGACTGAGTAAGGCAGAGAGCTGGTGAGGCTGTCAACGAGTCATGCAGAGACTTGCTGTGGTAGAGACGAATTCAAGCAGGAAGATGTTCTAGTGAGTTTCGGGTGAGGCGAATTTTGAAAAATCTTGAAAATTTTCGAAAAATCAAAAAATGCTAGAAAATGTCTAAAACCCGCACAAAACCAAATATTTTTGCAAAATTTTCAAAAATACAATTTTTGATAATTTTTCAATTTTTTTTAGTTTTCAACGCCATTTGAAAGATTTGCAGCATTTTTCGATTTCTTGAAAAATTTGAAAATTTCCTTTAAAGCTTTCCCCACCCGATACCTGCCAAGATACGTTCTCTGTATCACCAGAC